GAAATGAGCAGGCATCAGGTTGCTAGATGGGATCTTTAACCTGCCTTCGCCGGCACGGCACGGGGAGGGATAGAGTTCCAAATACTGTTTGCACAGATGAAGTAAGTCAGTAGCTCCCGCCGCGCCGCTGCCGTTTATTTTCACAAGCTTTTAATTTCCTTTTTTTTTTTTTAAACCTATCTTCCCAGACTGAAGTGCTGTCAGTCAGCTCAGAGAGGGCTCAGACACCGCACCGATTCCCCCCGAAACGCCACGGGATGGTTGTCCAGCAGAACCCCCCCACGGGCAGCAACAACATTCCCTTGGCCATCCAGAAGCCACAACGCTTCGTAGCTTCTCTCCTCTTTTATTGCCAACTTCAAATGGACAGTCCCTTGGTATAATTCTGGGTGGAAGCTTTAAAATTCCCAAACTGGTCCAGCACTTAAATATTTCAGCGTTTTTACAAAAGAAGGAAGAAGCAAGATACGGTAGACAAATAAATACCTGAATCCAACAGTGTGAAAATACCCTGTCACAGCATAAAACTATTCCCTGTTCAACTAAAGACAATGTGGATACTGTCCCTGAGGTAGCAGCCATCTCTGGTAAATGTGAGAGCTCCGAGAGTAGGTTGTGCCCATTATGAGTTACCAACATAAAAACAATAATAATACTAAAAAAAAAAAAAAAAATTCAGCTTTTGGATACTTTATTCCTTGCTGTAATTTCATCTCACCACAGCCAGAAAAGCAAGAGGGGTTTTTTTGGAGCTGCCCAGAAAAGGCAGCGAGTTGAATTAGTGGAGTAAAAGAAGTAAGAAATCTGGCAAGCTGTTGCTTAAATGTTTGAGGTGTATAAAAGAATTATCGGGGCGAAGGGAACGCCTGCCGTTTTTTTTTGCGGATCGCTGGCAGGCGGGCGAGGATGGGTGCAAGGCTCTGAGAATGACCCCTGGTACAGTCCAGCTGGTTCGGCCCTTCGCTCCCGGTACGCAAAATGATGCCTGGAGCCCTTCGCTACGGCACGGCCCTACGCCTGCACAGCCCGTCTCGTGTCTGGCCCCGGGTGGTGGTGGGTTTGGTGGCCGGTGGGTTGCACCATGGGATGCAGTGGAGCTGTGCCCCAGGGCTAAGGAGGGCTCATCCCTCCTAGGACGCTGCCACGGTGGCTGCCAGCAGCGTGGGGACACACTCCCAGAGCAGCAGTGCTCCTGCTCAACCAACAGCCGGGCCCACACCTGACGGTCATTCCTTGAGGAAGCCTCTGATTCCGTGAAAACGGGTACGTGTTCACGAAAGACCCAGGAGGAGCATTTCGGACACCTATAAAACCACATCCGAACCACCAGCAGCACGCGGCAACCTGCAGTCCTACTTGTCTACCTGTCTACCCAAGTACAACATGTCTACCCAAGTACAACGTCTACCCAAGTATAACATGTCTACCCAAGTACAACATGTCTACCCAAGTACAACATGTCTACCCAAGTACAACGTCTACCCAAGTACAACGTGTCTACCCAAGTACAATGTGTCTACCCAAGTGTCTACTCAAGTACACCACGTCTACCCAAGCACAACTGCGTCGCAAGCACAGAATACAAATCCAGTGGCTCCCTTCAAACACAGGGCAAGAGTTTGGGTGAACCAAGGACAGACTTGAAGATGTACCCCACACTGAAACCAAATGCAAGCTCTTTTTTTTTTTCATTTTTTCCTTCTTATTTTACAGATTACAGGCCAGACACACGCCAGGTGATGTTTTCCCAAGTTTTCGGTTGGCACAGCTTTGCCTGCAGCCCGGCTCAGGCATTGATGAACGGCGAGAAGGGCTGTAACGTGTCACTTCTCCAGCTAATGGGCAGCCAGATGTACTCCGCAGCACAAAGCCAGAACGTGCCATTTCGAGGTTGTGGTTTTTTTTTGCCAAGCTTTGTGGACTTCGGAGGCTTGGAGAATTCAGGGAAGGCCACATCCTGCTGGATCTCCAGACTTCAGCCTTGTCCCTTCGGGGGCTAACCTGCCGCAAGCATCTACGTTTTAGGTCCCAACGGCACAGATTGACAAGAGCAGAAAAGAAACCCCAAAAAAGAGGAAAAGCTAAACATCTAAAAAATAGTCTTTACAGATTCACATCCATCGTCAACCATCTCAAACCAACACATAATCTGCATTGGTTTAAGCCATTACATTTCTGCATAATTATATAAAAAAAAAGAAAAAGCTCTATTCTTGACATACTTTTGTATTTCAACTAGTCAAATGGCACAGCATTTCCCTTTAATAAAAGGAAGTAGTGACAAATACTTGTTACTATTACAATATCACAATAATATGATATTAAATTAATAGCATGTTCACAGCTCCAGGAAGTCTGAGCTGAAAGCTAGTCTAAATTCTGTGTTCACTTTGGCAACAGTACTTATTCAATGTGAACGTCGGCGTTACACACACACACAAAAAAAACCCCAATAAAAAGAAAAGCTGGGCTGGAGCGGGATGGCAGGAGGAGACTGGGATTTCTTTGATATGAGGTTACAACTCGAGCCATTTGGCATCTCCTCCTCCCTGCTGCCCTTTCCAAGCCCCGGCATCCTCCGGCTCCCACGCTGGGCTGGGCTGTGGTACCGGTCCCGCACGGTGCCACCAGCGCGGTTCCGCAGGGCCCTTCCCAGGCTGTCTCCAGGTCCAGCATCACGTGGGAGGGAGCATCCCCCCACGGGAGCTGTGAGCAGGATTCGGTCTGATGGCCCTTTTAGCCTCTTCAGTGGGGTGGGGAGAAGCTATCTGGGGCTTTAATACATAAGTTTAACCTTTCACATTTTTTCTATCCTGCAAGATGTCTACAGGAGGAAGAATTTTATTGGGAGAGGGCTATGAACACCAAGCCTCAAGAGCTTCTTGCTCTCAAGGTCAATGCTGTTACATCTATGATGTGATCTGGAAGGACAGAGTCCTGCTCACAGCTCACCCAGCCCAGCACCAGGACACAGCACGGGGGAAGAGATGTTGGCCTTATCGTCCTGTATTTCATATTATTTACACAATTATCAGTAGCATCCCATTGCCAAACGGAAAGGTGACGGGGGATGTTTCTGACACAAGGGACTCTCCCACTGGTACCATTTAAAAAAATACAATTTTTACTTTTAAACTTAAAACTCATTTCCTTTCCTGATTCCTTTCGCTTTTCTTTGCAAATACAGTGACATTTGCTTTGCCACCACCTATGCAAAGAGTTCAAACCTTCACATTCACCCAGTTGTAACCAACCCACACGTCAGGGAAAGGGCTGCTGCCCTCCAGCACCGGCTGGCCAACGTCCCTGTCCCCTGTGTGTGCCCCCATCTCGCCCCACGGACAACGCACCAACTCACGAAGCTGCACCATGCCAGGACAACCCAAAAACCATGGTGGCACGTTTGTGGTTGGGCCCTGGAGGGGAGGGGTGTCACGCACAAACCCTCTCTTTGGTGTCAGGAGCTCCTCTGCCCGCCCTGGGCATGGGGCAGGGGGGGCTGCCAGCAGCCCTCAGCAGCCTCCAGCGTGGAGCCCTGCTCTGCATCGCTGCCCAGGAGCCCTCCTCGCCTCGGCCCTCCGAGGGACGCGAGCCCTTTTCGGCTCAGCTCATCCTTTGGATGATATCCTGCTAGCTGGAACTACGCCGGAGGAGCTGGGAGAAGCTCAGTAGCATCTCAAGGGGTTTGGGAAGCATTGTATCAGGGTTTCCTGGTAGGTGCTCTTGATGGCAGGGTGGGCTTTGAAGGAACAAGACGGTGACGACCAGGTTCCCACCTCCCAGGGGTGCCTGATGCTGCTCATGTCGGCACACGCCATAAATCGTCATGTGGGGAATCAGCCATATCCTGAACACACCCAGGATGGACCACCACGGCAGCCACCACCATGCCGAATGTGGCCCTGCAAGAGCAACGGTGCCAGCGAGCCACGGGGCATCGAGCCGCATGCTGTGATGGCCCCAACAGTCTTTAAAGTAAAAAAAAAAACATGATACAAATCTCCGCCACACAAAAAAATCACACCACAGCCCCGCTACGTGCCTAAAAGTAAAGCTCATAACACTGGTGAAGCACCTTGCTTCACGCGGAGCTGGGTGGGAGAAGCAGGAATTGGGGGGGGAGAAGAGGACACACACACACGCGCGCGCGTTTCGATCACGCTTGAGGTAGAACATTGCTTTCAAGGTTTGGAAGTGCTTTACATGGGAACAGCGACAACGAAACCACCAAGGCGGCAGGTACAGAGCACGACTGCTGAGGTAGGACCAAGCTTGTACTGACCAAGTGCTACGCTACTTGTTTTTTGAACACGAAGGAAGACGCAGGTATTTCTGCTTCCCAGAAGACATTCATTCCGGTTGAGGTAGGTTCTGAGTTCACTCGGGTTGTCTGTCCGAGTCTTTCAGTAGCCCTCAGGCAGGCATCCTTTGACACACACACTCTTTTTTTTTTTTTTTCTTTTTTTTCATTTTATTTCGAGTCAATATCAGCAAAAAAAGTATCCTGAGAAATAGCATAAGTGTACAAAATCATCAAATCCAGGGAGAGACGACCTTCCCGGGCCTTGATTTTTGGAGTCAAGTTAGAAGGATTTCTCCGAATCCAGTCTTCTGGAAATAAAAAATAGATCCAAAAAGTAGTCCTAAAGCTGCTGATCAGGAAAAAGTCTGGGATGCCAAGAGAAGGAGGCTCCACCGTATCCCCAGTCTGTCAGAGACGGGAGAGTTTGCCAGACTCTGCCGAGGAGTCTTTTAGTTAGCAGCTGCGGGGAAAATCCATCGTGACCAGCCTCGACAAAGCCGTTGTCGGCAGAAATGCGCCGAGAAGCCCGAGAGAGGTCAGAAAGATAAACTTCACAGAGTTTCCAAAAGGCTGTATACATATATATATATTTATATATATATATATAAAAATAAAGCAAAACAAAAAAATAACAATCAGACCGTAGAAATCTTCAATTGGGGCGGGCTGCCGCCGTGGGGGCTTTTCGGGAGGGGGTCTGGCTGCTCCTCGATGATGCTGAACTCGTCCAGAGGGAGGGTGGACATCTGGGTGTCGTCGTGGGTGGCCGGCGGGCCGCGAGCCGACTGGAGAGAGAGAAGGGGACAACGCAATGACGGTGGCAGGTCACCGATGCTCTTAGACACGCAGCCGCATCTGCATTTCCCAGGCATGCTCCCGTCCCGCTGGACTCACCGTTATTCCCTTGTCCTGCTGCTCCTGGGACGGGGATGCTGGGAATAACCTCTCCAGCTCGTTCATATCCAGTTGCTTTCCGTTCAAGTCCCGGTCGTCCCTGTCCCTGCGAGCGGCCCCGTTCAGGACGTGGCCCGTGGTGCTCCGCTGGCTCCGGGGGATCTGCGGGGTCGACAGCTGCTCCTGCACGTTTTTGCACATCAGCAGCCTGAAAAACGATGAGATGGAGCCTGAGGGTGAGCAAAGCTGCTGCCGAGCCGCCTTCCCTCCCCCGAGCCCGAGCCTGCCTTATCCCTGGGCTACGTTCCTTCGTTCCTTCGCTCCTTAAACCCCTCCTATAAAGTCACGTCTCTTCCCTCGCCGTGAAAGGGCTTTTGGTTTACAGGGAGGGTCAGGGCTTGCCATAGGGACGCTCCCGGGAAATGCCAGGTCCCTCGACGGGGACCGCAGCTGATGGGGTGTATCTGGAGAAGCCCCCTGGGTCTGGGTGCCTGGGAGGGAGGCAGGAGCCGTGCTGCCAACAGCACCCGGCGCTCCCGGGAGCCGGGCTGTGCAATCGCACACCACGGGATGAGGATCCTGAGAAGCGCATGGCAAAGAGCCCGTCATCGCGCCAGGGGTGCGAGACCCCACACGGGGATACCCACACGGCACTGGGGACCACCACCCCTCGTCAGCAGCAACGCCAGCAACCCCTACCTTCCTCTGTACCCAAACATGAGGAAGAGGACGCAGAAGATGATGCACGTGACGCCGATGTGGATCCCAATGATGATGCCGGTCGTGGAGGTTTTGTTGTTCTGCTCATCCTTCATGCAGTCGCAAGGAGGATTCAGCACTGCCAGAAGAAGGGGGACAGAGGGTCAGTGGTGCTGTCTGACTGTTGGTCTTCCAGCTTCTGGGGAGCTCAGAGCAAAAGCTGGCGCCTGGGTGGTGCTGGGAGCCGTGTACGGGGCAGAGGAGAGGAGGGGGCCCCCCCCTGCCAAAGCAGCTCCCCTGCTCCTGGCACCCCAGGAAGGCAGTCCCAGCAAGCGCAGGACTGGGAGGTCCCTACCCAGCCAAATTCCCCGGGCTGCTGTTATTAGCCACAACTAATGAACGAAAAAGACTGCAAAGTTCATTTTTGCAAAACCCCGTGCCCGAGGTGGGAGGTGAGAGTTGGCCACCTTGCCAGAGCAGGCGGACGCCTGACGGAAAGCACCGAGCAGGCACATGCCAGCGAGCTCGGTATTTACTCCAGCACCGACAGAGGAGTAATAACTGTCTCTTGAAGATGTTCCCACTGGAAGGCTTAAAAAGCTTCCAAGAGCAGCAGGATGTTTTTTACACATAGATGAATATGAAAGGTGTGATCAGCTGGAGATTCCCTCTAGAGATTTCCCCTTTTCTGCCACCTATTGCAGTGCTCATGCTCCGCAGCCCCTCTTGCCAGAGCCACGCGCCCTCCCTTGCTGCCACCAGTGAAGGTCAAAATATGCAGGGAAGCTCCAGGAGAGCGGAGATGCTCGGGGCACCACATCTCGCTCGAGGATGGCAGCTCTTAGCTTACGCATGGGGGTTTGGTTCACGCTCACGGCCTCACCTCCAGCTCAATCTCAGGGGACAAAACTGGCCATTACAGGAACGTTTGGTTTGTCCTCTCCCCCCCCTTAGTGAAATAGTCACCAGGTTCATCTGTGCTGCAAAGAGGTGTTGGCTCGTTAATACTAACGAGGGCCAATGGGGATGGTGCAAGCCAGGTGGCAGGGAAGCCACCCCTACCAGCACCAGGTGGTCCCAGCCCCGCAGAGTTTCGTTTCGTCATTATTTGCGGTGTTGAAAACAAACGAGAGGCTGAAAATGAGTAAGGGGTGTAGAGCCCTGGGTGTCTGTCAGGCCTCCCCACCTCCCTGCAGAGTGGGTTTCACGAACCACTGCCGAGACTGACATCCCGTCTCACCTGTCCTCTCCACACTTTCCCTCAAGGACACGAAGCGAACGGTTGAATTTCCATCCCCGTGCTGGTTATAGGCGAGGAGCTTGACTTCGTAAACCACCGCCGCGTCTGTTTCGATGGAGACACAAGAAGGGCGTGTTTCAGCCTTAGCCGTTAGCGTTATCTCCCCGCGTGATGCTCACTTAGGAAATGCCAAACACACACAAGATACCACGAACAAGTACCAGCTACTGGGAAAGCACCCCGAAAACCTGGAGGAGAGCTGCAGCATCTCCCATTTACTCCCCTCCCCAGGCTCTCCCAGGGTCAGGAGGGGACGCGGCTCAAGCCGTCACCGTACTCACCCAGGTGGGTAATGTTGTACGCTGTCACGTTGCTGGGCAGCAGCACCGGACCTGTGTACTGGGAGAGGTGGACCTTGCGGTAAAACAGCTTGAAGCCTTCGTGCTGGCCCAGTTTGATGGAGGGCTCCCACGTAGCCTGGACGGCGGTGCTGTTAATGACTTTAATAAAGAGGGATGGCATGGCTGGGACTGAAACAGAGAGAAGAAAGACAGTGGGTTGCATGCGCTTTTTTAGTCTGCGTGATGAGAAACCCCCCAGCAGCCTTTCCCTGCGGTCACTGCACCCAAACACATGCTGGATGAGATGACTGAGAAAAATCAGATCAGACCAGCTCCTGGCTTAACAGCTTTGAACTTCTTCAGGGAGCTGCAGGAGTTTCCAAGGGTTACCTATGCTC